CCGGGTGAAGGGGAAATTTCCTACTCAATTAAACCAGATTTGAGAATAAAACTCATGTTTTGGAATTTAAAATTATGTTTTATGATTTAATACACATGGATGAGATGAGCTTTGTCACTTTGGGTCATTCCAGAGACATGGAAATAGAGACTGATGATCCTCAGAGGGAAGAAGGGTGGGAGATTGCAGGGGAGGAGAGATTAAACCAAAGAATTTATATGCATATATGCATAACAAATGGACACAGAAAATAGTTTGGTGAAGGCTGGTGGGGGCAGGAGTGAGGAGGAGGCGGTCAAGGAGGTAAAAAAGAAGGGACATCTGTAATACTTTCAACAATAAAGATAATTTATTTTTATTTAATTTAATTATTTTTTTAATCCTCACCTGAGGATCTTTTTCCATTTATCTTCAGATGGAGTGGGAGGGAGGGAGGGAGAGAGAAACATTGATGTATGGGAGATACATCAATTGGTTGCCTCCCGCAGAACCCCGAAATACATGCCCTTGATTGGAATCAAACCCTAGACTCTTTGGGCCTCAGGTTGACACTCCAACTGCTGACAGAAACCAGCTAGGACAGCAATAGATAGAATTTTAAAAAATACATTAATATATATAACTTTTTTGTGAAAAAGACATGTGTAAGATAGATTGTAGATAACATGCTTAGAGAATCCAGTCAACACACTTTGGCTCATAGAAAATGTTTATAATTTGGGGATATATAAGGCAGCCTAGTTTTAGAGGAAGAATACTAGTTTAGCTATACCTTGGACTCTTATGAGCTTGTGTTTTCTTGTCCAGGGACAAGAAAGTTCAGGCTAATTGACTTTTTAGGTTCCAACCAGCTCTAAAATGGTGTACTTATATTAAATTTAAAATGATATGCCCCGCCATTGTGGCTTAGTGGATTGAGCATTATCCCATGGACTGAGAGGTCCTGGTTTTATTTCCAGTCAGGGCAAATGCCCTGGTTTCAGGCTTGGTCCCCAGTAGGGGGCCATGCAGGAGGCAACTGATCAATGTTTCTCATGTCGTTTCTATCTCTCTCCCTTCTTCTTTCTTTAAAAAATCAATTTTAAAAAAATGATAAGTTCTTCCTGTAGCATAAGTGAATAATGATCTTTGAAAAGTCTCTGTACTCAGAAATACATCATTATGCACTGCTCAAAGTGTGTAGATCATTTTACCTGAGCACAGAATGTTTTTTGGGCCAATTAGTTACAAAACTGGTGAAACATACAGACATAAGCACTAACCAAGGGTAATCTGGCATTTTTGTTTAAGGGGTTTAAAGTGAATGCATATTTTGCTCTTTTATAAAAATACGTATGATGAATTCAGACATTGATGCATATGAATTTTATAAAGCTATTTGAAAATTTTACATACTTAAAATTTATAGACCGCTTCAGTGCTAATAGTTTCCCCAACAAAAACACCAGAAAGCAGAGAAGCAGTGAAATTAATTAAAAGAAAAATCAGTAAACTCTATTACAGCTAACCATGTTCCCCAAAGACTTTTATAATAGGAAGATGTAATGATTAGTTGTTTTTCCATCTGATTTCTTTTGATTTGAACACTCAAAATTCACCCTGTACAGAAGTTCTGAGGTCGAGTATGAATTCTTCTTTTGGTTAATTAAACTTATTTACTAGCCATCAGTTGGAGAATGTAGTAGCCTATACAAAATAAAACCTTAACATTTTCAACACCAAAACCTTTTGATATTTGAACTAAACGCAGAGAGATCAGCAAAGGGCTCTGACAATCTGGCACTGAATGCCTACTGCTGTGCCCCCAGGAAGATTTTGCTGGATAAGAACCTCAAGGTCAGGAGCACTGTGAGTTCTGATACACTTCAGAGCCTGACTGGCAGGTTGCCAAACCCAGCACTGTGAAAACACAGAGCACAGCTTGCAGAGTGCTGGAGAGGGACCATATGGGGAAGTTTGAAAGACACACTTTAGAGTTGAGTTGAGCTGGATGTTCTGGTCAGGGAAAGGTCAGAATCTGGGCAAGTGCAGAAACAGCAGGCCCATGCCAACTCAGATGCCAAACATCAGGGCCATTCCAACTGGTGGATTCCATTTGTTCTTAATTATCAGACTACCGAAGGGACTTTTGTTTCTTGTAAATAAGGATGACAAACAAATTAAGCTCTAGCAGGTGCAACAAGCTTATTTTATCCTGAGTTGGAACTGTCCTAGCTAAGATGTAACCTGCCAAACAGATCTGGTGACAGAAAAAAAAAGGTATTTTTTTTCTTCTTTTTGAAACTTCTAGTTGTGGGTTATAAGTAGATACCCAAGAAAATGCAGTTGTTGTAGCAAATGATTTCTATTCTAGAGTAATAATTAAGGCAGTTACTGATGATTGCATTGTTTTGATGAAAGACATTTTAAAGCTTGATATTTGAGCTCAGTCTTGCCAAAGTCTGAAGTTTCTGTCCAAGAAGATTTAGTGGCTGCCTGCCATTTTGAACAGCTCCCCTAGAGCACATGGATCCAGCTGCTGCTTCAGAAAACAGTATTATGGTGCCATTTCTGAGGGGGGTATTGAAATGCCAGCATACAGCACTGTGTCTGCAAATCAAACTTAGGCTGTGAGGAATCAGATTTTCCCACAGGATAATAGGAAAGAGGCATTAATTCAGCCTTCTTGCTTGTTTGATTTTTGTATTAATACTCCCATTTACACCCGTGAACTCATCAACCAGAAAATCCTTTAGTGCTGTGGACAACCTGCTGTCCGAGGTGGGTGAGGTCCCATCCTACACAGAGGTAGATACACAGATTAGGTGTTCTCCTAGGGCCTTGCGAGAGCACAGCCTATCTTACACAAATTTGGTTTCCCTAGAGAAATTTTTAAAGAGGCTTTGTTTTTGCCAAGATTTTATTTTGGATTTTAGCTTAATGAATAGTAATCCAAAGAAGCCAAAATAAGCTATCTATGGTCATGTGTGAATACTCATGTCCTCTACTTTTTTTGTCAGATATTTATATTTATATAAAATTTAGTAACTCAAAAACTCCTAAAAGAATCATTGAATGTGGAAAGAAAAAAGAATATTCTATGGTACATATTTCTTCTGTTTTTTATTGGGTTTTAGTTAGTTAAGAAACTTTTAATACATTGTACAAATTTTTTTATGATTGAAGCAAATAGTACTTATTTATTTGTACCACATCATCAATGAATAGAATTGCAGTAAACGATGGAAATAACTCTTCTTGCAATAGTTTATAATTTTACTTATTCAAAAACATCTGTTAAGAGTCCAGTATGTAACAGATGCCATATGATGGGCCACAGATGCAAAAATAAAATATTGCAGTGTAGTCCCCAAAGAGATTTTACTTACTGGGTTGTAAGATATATGAGCAATTACAGTATTAGTATTTAGCTACTAAAATAGAATTATACACATGGTATAGTTGGAGTATAAAATAAGTAGAGGTCAAAAAACATTTCATAGAGGTGAAGGATGGAAGCGTGCACAGAAGAGAAGAAATGTGGTGTGGAAATTTCAGGTGAAAGACAAGCAGTTAGAGATGCTAAGGCATTAACAGGGCACATGGTGTGCTTGTGGAACTCCAAGAGTTTTGTTATAAGTGGATGGAAAGCTCAAGAGGAAATTCCTGGTAGATAAGCTTGAGTTGAAAAGCAAATTTCAGATCACTAGAGAAATAAAGTATTTTTATATTTGATATAGCACCTACTTTGTGACAGACACCATGCTAGTCAATGAGGGAGATAACCTTTTAACTGGTCAATGGTATAATCGGATATTCATGTTATCTACATTACTCTGAGAGAGAAAAATCTAAATCTAAAGGTACAAGAGACTACTCAGGATATTGTTGTAATAATATGTGTAATGACATGCTTAAGAAGGACATCCTACTTCAACTTTTGAAATTGTCTTTCTTCTTTCTCCTTCCCATTCCCTTCCTAGCTTAATTTCTTCTCATCTTTCATATCTGTAGATGTCAACTTTACCGAGGGGCCTTCTCCAGACACACAGGCTAGATTAGGTCTCATTGTGTACACTGACATGACACCAGGAATATTTTCTTTATGGCAACATACTAACTGCAATTAATCATCTCCGTAATTATTTGTTTAGCATCCACCATCCATTAGCTTGTTGACAGGAATGGTGTCTTTCTTGTCTAGTAGGATCTTGAGCACTTGGCAGGTGCTCTTTCCATATTTCTGTGAAAATAAATGATTGACAGAAAATGTAATATTGGGTAAAAGAAGATGGGTAAGAGAAATATTAAACAGGTATAAAAGAGTTTGATAAATGAACAAATATTGAAAATAAGATAAATCCTTGGTGAGTCCCATGTTTCTAGCTTTGATCATTGGGGTGCCATTAATAAGACTTATGACTAAACTGTGGGGTAAGATTATGACTTAAATTGGAACCCAGTTATATCAGTTAATTGGATCACAGCTCACATTAAATTCAATTTTGGTTTCTTTGAAGGAATTTGGTGTCACCCTAGTCTCATATCACTATATTTTCAAAAACTTTTGTTGTGAATTGTTTTTGTAGAAGATTAACATGTACTTTTTAGGTTGATTATATTTTGTTTCAGTTTCAAAAGATTGTCTCCTGTATTTTTGTTCTCATATTTTTGGCATTTCTCCAGTATTGAGCTAGGCTCCTTTGTCATATGGCATGATATATTTCTAAAAATTTTCATTTAATTAAGTTCAAGAAGATTTGAGAAAGCTGAAGTGTATTCTTATATTTGCAGTTAGACTTGGTTTTTGTGTAAGTTTGTGCTTGAATATGAAATAAAAATAGAAATAAATAAATCTATAATTATCTTAACATTGAAACCTCTAATTATGTAAAAAGCGTCTTGCCAGTTAATGAGACATTTCTAAAGGCAGAACGTTTTTTACATCAAAGACTGTGGTGTAATCATCTCGTCATTTATTCTGTTTACTTAAATAAAAAGTATTGTCTGTTTCTTTCTAGTTACCCACAGAGAAAAAGACAAAGGAAAAGGAAAAGAAAAAGAAAAACCTGAAAAGAAAGGTATAGTGTTTTTCTTATTGCTTTTTTTAAGACATTGGTTTTTCCTGTTTGGACTCTTCTTCTTTACATCAGATTTTAGATTATCATAAAGTTATGTTATTATTTATATTATGATAATTTCCTCAGAATAAACTGAAAAGAGTAATTTCTGGATTGAAGAAAATACAATATTTAAGACTCTTGTACTCTATTACCAATTTACTTTCTAGAAAAGTTTTATCAATTTTTCTGCTGACAGTTTTGAGGCTGCCTTAGTCAACAATGAGAATATTATTGGAGAAAATACTTCCAATTTGATAGGTAAGAAAGCATATTGCATTATTTAACTTGCATCCTTTGATTACCTATTAGATTGGACTTTTAAAAATTTTTGTTTTTATTTATTTGTTTAGGATGTGCAACGCAGATTCATTATTTAACACATAAAGATACATTGTGAAAAGCTTCCTGCCTTGCTCCTACCTTTAAGGTTTCCTTTCCATCCCACCTGCACATATACACAGTAAATCACTTTTATGAGTTTTATGTGTATCTTTCAGAGCTTCATTATAAGTTTATAAGATAATATGGTTAATTGTTTTTCAAAACAAAATTTAGCATGTCCTCTATTATGGCTTTTATAATTTATCAATAATTTCGAGAGAACTTTCAATATCAGTCAATAGATATTTTCCTCATTCTTTAGAAAACTGTATTTAAATAAAGACTTTTTTTACTTTATCTTTTAACGCTTATTATCTATAGATTCAAGGAGTTAAGCATGACTTTTAGCAATTTATAATTCTGGTTGTAACTATAAACACTTTTTACTCCTGATAATATGTGTGCATGTCATTGGGTAGATATCCTTGGTCTGTCACTTTTTCAAATATTCTTTTTCAGTTTTGTAGTTAATGTGGGGACAGACATGTGAATGTGTGTGTGTGTGTGTGTGTGTGTGTGTGTGTGTTTATATTCTTGAATTTTTATGTGGCTAGATAGGTTAATATTTTCTTTTGGTATTTTCACTTTTAAATCTTTATCCAAACATTAAATCATTAGTTATTAATATTTTTCTCAAGTTTTAAAAACTTTCACATTTTACTTTAATGCATCAAAAATCCATTTTAAGGTATGATGTGACATAAAATTCTCATTTACTTTTATGCTTTTGTTTTAGGCTGGATTATGTCTAGGATATTTGGGCTAGATTTCAGTTCACTTATGGGTCCACAATATGCATAACCTGTTGAGTTACCTTGTTTTGTTAAACATTCCATTAACTAGAATGCTTTATGATATTTAAGAATCAGATCAGTTGAGCCCTGTCTGGTGTGACTCATTTGATGAGGCATCATCCCGTGTACCAAAGTTTTGCCAGTTCGATTTCTGGTCAGGGCACATATCCAGGTTGTGGGTTCAATCCCTAGTTGAGGGGCATGCAGGAGGCAGTTGATTGATGTTATGCTCTCACATCTATGTTTCTCTCTATTCCTCTCTCTCTAAAAATCAATAAACTATTTTTAAAAATAATCAGATTAGTTGAAAAATACTTTAATCTTCTTAAAATTTGTATTAAATAGTTGAATATTTGAATTAAATAGTTGTTATTTTATTAATGTTTACTTAGTGATAATATCCATGAGTTTCAATACAGCCCTCTTTTTTTCTAGGAGCAAGTTTCCACTTCCTATCTGCTTTTGAGTTATACAGAATTACTAAAATCAGATTCTGTATGCTCTGACTAAACAAAATAATTTGATATTTCTAATGATTTTTTCAACCTTCACAGTGGCTAAATATTTATTATGAGAATAAAAATATTTGTGCCCTGGCTAGTTTGGCAGTGGGTCGAAAGTTGGCCCGCAGACCAAAGAGTGGTGGGTTTGATTCTGGTCAAGGGCATACACCTCAATGGCAGTTCAGGTCCTTGGCCTACATTCAATGTGTCTCTCTCACATTGATGTTTCTCTCTCTCTCTGTGTGTGTCTCTCCCTCCCACTCTATCTGAAGATAAATGGAAAAGTATCCTTGGGTGAGGATTTAAATAAACACATATATATATATATATATATATATATATATATATATATATATATATCCCTTTAATTATAAATGTTGCAGGAAAGTTGTCCAAATTGGAAAACAGAAAGAAAATGTTCCATTGTAAATGTCCTACTCTATACTAATTAAAGAGTTGGTTTTAATGATGTAAATTATTATATTGTAGCCTCATGACCTTGTGTGAATTGTAGCCTGCTTAGCCTGGAAAAATGCTCCTTCAGCTATTGTCCAAGTTATTACCCACCACTCCAAATGGTATTGGAGTTGGCTGTAGTGCAAGCTGAGTGCTGGAGAGGTTGAAATCCTGGAGGAGAAGGCATCCTGCTATCTTGGTAGCTCTGCAACTAAGAGCATCACTTAGTCTTCAACAGGACATCAAGCTTTAAGTTTTCTATGAGGCTTGCATCCTCTCTGCAAGATTTAGGAACAAACATTCATAGACTATTATTCTTTACTATATTACATGCACTATCTCATTTGATCTATTTTATTTATTTATTTTTCTTTTACTGATTTTCAGAGAGAGAAGAAGGGAGAGGGAGAGAGAGATAGAAACATTGATGAGAGAGAACATTGATTGGCTGCCTACTGCATGCTCCCCACTGGGGATTGGACCCACAACCTGGGCATGTGCCCTGACTGGGAATTGAACTGGCGACCTCTTGGTGCATGGGTAGACACTCAAACACTGAGCCATACCAGCCAACCTCATTTAATTTATTTTAAATTACATTTATTGGGGGAATATGGGTTAATAAGGTTATATGTTTTAAGTGCACAATTCTATAATACACTTTGTATATTGCATCATGTGCCTTCCACCAAAAATTTAGTCTCCTTCCATCACTATGCATTTATTTGATCCCTTTTACCTTCTTCAACCACCCACCACCATCCTTGGTCTCTGGTAACCACCATACTGTTGTCTGTGTCAATGAGGTTTATTTTCGCTTTGTTTTGTTTTGTTTGTTTGTGGCTTTCTGTTTTATATCCCACATATGCATGGAATCATATGGTTCTTGTCCTTTTCCATCTCACTTATTTTGCTTAACATGCTACTCTTAAGATCTATTAACATTGTCACAAAAGGCAGTATTTCATTTTCTTTCTGTGTCTGAATAGTGGTCCATTCTGCATATACACTACATTTTCTTAATGCAATCATCTATTGAAGGACACTTGTGTTGTTGTGTCCATGTTTTGGCTCTCATAAAAAATGCTGCAGTTAGCATAGGGGTACATATACCTTTATGAATAAGTCTTTTCAAATATTTCAGGTAGATACCCAGAAGAGGAATTTCTGGGTCATGTCATATGGCAGCTCTATTCTTAATTTTTTGAAAAGCCTTCATACTGTTTTCCACAGTGGCTGCACCAACTTACATTCCCACCAGCAGTGTATGAAGGTTTCTTTTTTCCACATCCTCTCCAACACCTGTTATTTCTTATCTTGTTAATAACCATTCTCACAGGTGTGAGGTGGTATCTCATTGTGATTTTAATTTGCATTTCCCTTATAGCTAGTGAGTTGAGTATCTTTCCATATATCTGCTGGTCATTTGCATGTCTTCTTGTGAAAAGTGTCTATTCAGGTCCTCTGAACATTTTTAATGAGGTTTTTATGGTTGTTGTTGAGTTGTATGCATTCTTTAATATATTTCAGTTATTAGCCCCTTACCAGAGGTGTTGTTTGCAAATATAAATTACATTTTTAAATAACAGTTTTAAACACATATACTAAGCATATTTTCATAGTACAAGTAAAGCTGATAGACATTGTTATTCTTATATTGTTGGAGAAATGGAAAGAATTGTGGCTTCAATTTTTAACTCTAATAATTTGACTCTGTTCTTAACCCAACTATTTAATTAAACCTATGTTATAATTTAATTTTCCATGATTTACTTAATTCTTATTTTCTTCAATAAATAGTATGTAAATGTTGAGAAATGTATGGTGATTTGGAAATTACCAAACCGCACAATTTAATGTCTTTGAATTACAAAAATAAACTGCACATGCTGTTGTACTTCTCAGAACTCCTTTACTTAAATGATTGCAAGACACTAGATTTTACCAGTCTATGTAAATAAAATTTCAGTTAATAAGATGAATTAATACTTATTTATTAATTTATTACGTAGACAATGAAACAATAATGTTTCCGACATTGTGCTTACTACTGTTCAGTTGAGAAATTACACTCAGTACTTCTTTACGATTTTACTTTTGTTGGTAGTAATCAACCAAAGTTGCTATCCCTAGAAAGTATTTGGAAAACTTTTTGGTTGTCATTGGAGTGGAGGGCATTTGGTAAGCAGGGACCAAAGAAGCTAAACATCTTGCTAATGCATGAGACAGTCTCATGCATTGAGACCTCCTATTCAGTGGTGCCCTTGTTGAGAAATACTGTGCTTAATTAAAGCTCTAGTCCTGACCTAAATATTTCTTATATTAATCCTGAAGAGAGTACTTCTTCCTGATAAAATGATGTATCTTTCAACAGACTCTTATACAATTATTCTCTCTCACTTTGTCTTTCTTGAAAATGTCTGTTTGGAATAAAAACTTTAAAAAGGAGGGTGAGGCTATCGTTCAAAATGCTTTCTAAGTCTTCATGCCAAATCTTTAAAATGGGACTCTAGCCCTGGCCAGTTTGGCTCAGCGGTTAGAGCGTTGGCCTGCGGTCCGGAGAGACCGGGGTTCGGTTCCCGCTAAGGGCGCGTACTTCGGTTGCAGTTTGTCCCCGGCCCTGGTTGGTCGTGCGGGTGGCAGCCACTCGATGTGTCCCTTCACGTCGATGTTTCTCTCTCTCTCCCCCTTCCTCTCTCTCCCTCCCACTCTATCTGTACAAAAAATGGAAAAATATCCTCGGGTGAGGATAAAAAAAAAAAAAAATGGGACTCTATTCAGTGATTATTAAATTAGTGGATCTTTATTTCTGAATTAGGCCTATTAATATCATAAATCTTTGAAATAGTTTGTGATTTTGATGGTTATATAACTGAGATAAAGAGAAAACTTGATTTTGGAATCTATTAAAAGTGTGTACTAATATAAAATTTTCTGTTTAAGCAATTCACAAGGAAAAAATTGAGAAAAAAGAAAAACCAGAAACAAAGACAGTGGCAAAAGGTAATTTTTCTCTTTATTATTTCCATAACTAATTTATTTTTTCTGTTAAAGTTTACATTTTGGGTAATAGCGGGATGATTGTAAGCATTAACTGTTTCCTTTTCATAAAAAACTTATTTGGCATTACATTTTTTTTTAATTGATTAATTTTTGTTACAAATGATTCTCCTTTTTTCCCCCACTGATTCCCCCCTCCCCCTTCCCTCCCTGCCCCTTCCCCAGATTGTTGTTCATGTCCACTGTTCATGCACACATGCGTATAAGTTCTGTGGTTCATCCCTCTCCCACCTCCTCACTCCTTAGGGAATTGTATTTGGCATTACATTTTAAATTTAATATGGAAAGAATAATAAAACTGAATACTTAAAATAATACTGCACCTCAAAATTTGAGAGGAAAATGGAGAACTTTCCCATTTGTGGTAGGCAGGATTGTGACCCCATCACTCATCTCTCAGCATCATCCTGGTGGCTATGTTACATTGCATCGCAAAAAGGAGTTTGCAGAAGTAGCTAAGATTGAACTAAAATGCCAAGACTTTCCTGGATTTCCCAGGTGGCCTCAATGTAATCTCATGAACATTTAAGGACTTGCCAGTTTGGATCAGTGGTTGGAGTGTCAGTCTGTGAACCAAAGAATTGTGGGTTCGATTCTGGCTAAGGGCACCTAACTCATTGTGGTTCTTCCTCAGCCCTGGTCGGGGTCGTGCAGGAGGCAACCAATTGATGTCTCTCTCTCTCTCTCTCTCTCTCTCTCTCTGTGTCTCTCTTCCTCCCTCCCACTCTGTTTGAAGATAAATAGAAAATATCCTTGGGTGAGGATTAAAAATAATAATAATAATAAATAAGTAAGTAAATGAAAGCATTAAAGAAGGGGTTAAAAATAAAAATTGAAGTGTAAGAACTTGCCCCTTATTGCTGGTTTGAAAATTGAGGAGAAAAATTCCACCAGCACATTGAGTAAGGGTGGAAAGCCCTTCTTCCCCAGAGCCTCTACTAAGAAATGCAGCCCTGATGACAACTTGATTTTAGCCTGTGAACCCTAAACAGAGGATGTAGTTGAGCCACATTGTGCCAAGACTTTGAACCATGGAAACCAGGAGATATTAAATGAATGCTGTTTTAAGATAGTTTTAGTAATTTGTTACTATAGCAATAGAAAATTAGCACAATATATCTGCTTTACAGCTTTTGACCAGTATTTTACCTTAAGCTTGATTTTAGAAGATTCTAATTCAGGCTTTCTTTAAAAAATTAAAAAGAAGAAGAGGTAAGGTATACATCTTGAGCTATATTTTAACCATTGAAGACCCCAGTATCTTAATAATAAACCAAAAAGAAAAAATCAATTAGACTATCATTGTAATGTTAAGTATTTCGAAGTATGTATTGGCTTTTATTAGTCCATAGTCGTCTATCAGTTGTTTGATTTTAGGAAAATATAAATTTTAACCGATAATTCAACATGAACTATTAAATTTCAATTTTCTCTTCATATTTAAAATTATAGGTTTTATGTGATCAATATAGTTTAGAAATCTCAATCCAGCATTTTCAAGGGTTGAATAATTTAGGCAAAAATTGGTATCTATTTTAAAAAATTCAATGTGTTTATCTACGCTATGTCAAATAATTAGATATTTGAAGCAGATATATATTTGACCAATTTTTTTAATGAAATAACTAAATATTATTTTATTAAAGTTAAAATGGGTAAATTATAAATTGAGACTCTTTTCCCTAGAAGGTAGTATTTACTCTCAAGTTAAAATGTGTAACTAAATACATATTATTTTATTCTATTTGGTTCTCTTCCTTTGACAGATTTGAATAAAAATACATTTGTATAAATAATATTCATGTAAAGTTATCTATATACACCATATACCCAAGAATCTATGCATAGTTTAGCTGAGTGCCCTACTTCACAATGTCTCACAGGACTGCAATCAATGTGTTAGACAGGGCTGCAGTCCCAACTGAAGGCTCAAGTGGGGAGCCCAACTGAATGCTCTAGGTTCATTTACATAATTATTAGCAAGACTCAATTCTTCAAGGCCTATTGAATGAGAGGCTCAGTTCCTTCTGGCTGTTGTCTGGAGACCATCCTCCGTTTCTTGCCAAATGAGTCTTACTAATACAATAGCTGGCTTCATCAAACCTAGCAAGAGAGAGAATTAGCTAACAAGAGAAAAATAATCTTATGTAGACTAACCATAAAAGCCACATACTTTTGGTTAGCAGCAAATTTAAAGGCTAGCCCATATTCAAGGGAGAGGATTACATAAGGGTATGACTACCAGGAAGTAGGGATCACTGGGGCCATCTTTAGTCAGCCTGGCGTGCCATAAATCACAAATGCTTTATGTATGTACTTATATTCTTATGGGGTCATAAATGTAAACAAACTATGTATGCATGTATATACATATATGAATATATATACACATTTATATATATAAATGTACATATGTATGTACATGTGAATATAATTTTCATTTTATTTTATGTGTGTGTGTGTATACACATTGTTATAAATATTGGAAATGCTCTTTTCATAATCAACAATTTCAAGGAAAACAGAATAAGATTAAAAGAGCCTGTATTATAGTATGTGGCATTTAAATGAGAAACAAAGATAGCCTATCGTTTTGGAAAGATGTGACCAGAATTAAAGTAGGAGTTCCTTCTGAAGACCTTTGATACCTAGACATAATCCCATTGAACAGGACACATTTCTTGCTATGTTACAAGAATCGCTTAGCCAAGGACAGCAACAGGCTGAACCACCTCAGGACTTCCTACTAAAGAACAATGTGTCTTCTGATGTCTACCCCTGTACACATGTAGGGATTCATAGTCTCTGTGAAAACTAGCCTATTCGTATTGTTCATTAAAAATAACAAAGACAGGGAAGAAGAAGAAGAGAATGATGGAAAGGGAATTGGGTAAGCCAAATTTGGGCCAGGCTATCGAACTGGCCGACAATAACAGTATTTAGTTATCTGTTAGTTGAATGAAGTAAGGGAGGTTACTGCTGTTTTGAATCACTTTTAGAAGTCCATTGTTTTCAATGATCTGTGTATATTTATATTTCCCTTCATATTTCCTGAAATACATTTTGTTATCATCCTCATAGATTAATATTAATAACATTATGCAGTTTAATCTAATGGGGAAATGGGTTAGGCATGCTGGTTCTACAGCTTCTACTCCTGATTCATTAGGTGCACCATTTTTGACAAGTAGCTTTTTGAGTCTTAGATTTCTCATTTGCAAAATGAAAACAAGTAATTTCTGGTATACATCCAACTCTGTGTAAGTTCTAGGGAAACTGCAAAGAGTATAATGTGAATATAATATTGAAATTTTCTGTGTACTTATTTTTTTGCTCATATTATTTTACTTATCTCCACAGTTTTCTTAAAGAAAGAGACAGCTACAGTAGTGATTTTTTTTTAATACATAGAAACTAAGGTACACAGAAGTTAAGCAGTTGACAGTTGCTTAATAAATGAGAGTGTAAATTTGTTATTTCCTAACTCCAAGGATACACAGTATGTTATTATGTTTATTGGGTAATGTAGTTTTCCTACTTTGGCAAAAGACAGTTTGATTCTGGTAAGGTCACTTATTGGTAATGTTAATTCCAAAATTGTATTAAGTATGCTGATATCATTATTTTCCATTAGACCATTTTGTTTTCCATTTGATAAAGTCATGAATTAAATGTCTTTTTAAATAGAGCTGGATGATTTGAATATAACATAACAATACTCTGTGTGTGTGTGTGTGTGTGTGTGTGTGTGTTTTCCTTAATGAACTCCTAAGTGCAAATATCACTTAAATTCTTTTTGAGAAAAGTCAAGAAGATTATTTTGGAACAAAATTTAAAAACACTGACACAGTTTGAGAAAAATAAAAATTGGGTGTTACTTTAGTTTCATTGTTATTTTCTGCATTATATCAAAATCATTGTTGAGTTTGCACCCATTTTTATTTTTAATGTGAAGCAAAGTTATTTGTTTCTAAGATAAAGATCCCTGTCATATACCTAAAATAAATAGAGAATATTTGTTATTTTTATACTTAAAACCATTCATAAAAATTAGTTTGATTTAGATGTGGTTTTGTCTTAAAGAAAATTGTCTCTGCACATTTATAAATTATACTAGCATTAAAAGTAGATATGAATTTTATATATCTCTAATTCCATACTATAAAAATAAGATTAAATCAATTGCTACTTACAAAGAGTGGGTATGTGTTATTTAGGATATCTATAGTAACAATTTTACACACAAAGAAATAGAAACAAACAAACAGTTGGCAAATTTTCCAAGCTATGTCAAGTTCATTTCTAAATACATATTTACATATGCAATCTATATATCATTGTATTACACATAAGATCTCAATGTAGTGAAACATTTACTTTTTTCTCTCCTTGATCACTATTGTAAATTTAGTAAACATTTATTCTATATTTTCTCTAAAAAAATGTACTCTTAGACATAATGATGCTACAAAAATGAATAATATAGTTCATAGCTTCAAGTTGCTTTCAGCCTTGTAGGGAATAGAGATATTTGATAAGCCATTTGTAATAAAATATATATAATGGTGAATAACATGTGTGTTTTAATAAAATTGAAGCAAATCAATGCTCAGATGAAGAAATGATTAATCCGAGTGCCAGAGTCACTTGTATATGAATTTAATACAAAGGAATTCGTATGTTGGGAAAACATGGAAACTATAGAGAATGCCTGTTGGCAATATTTGACATGTGGAAAATGCATGGGATATTCAAGAAAAAGAAAGTAGTCTAGTGGAGGAAGAAACTTTTGGGGAAATGCTATGTGAAGAGAGAGAGGAGAGAGCCAGATATCAAAGAGATTTAAACGCTAAATTAAACATCCTTCAGAGTAGATCGTCCTGCTGATCTTCAGAGCCCAGCAACAAGCTATGAGCCCAGGTCATGATGAGCTCTCTGGCAGGGTTTGTTAGCTGAACATGTATGAATTGTATATCTGAGGTGCCATTGGCTGTCTGAGTAGAACTTTCTCTCCAGGCAGAAACTAATGAATATCTATGGATTTCTAGAATTATGTTAATTTAAAGTGCTTTGCAGAGAGCCAATGGTTTCAGTCACAGAAATGAGTCTGTGGTATAAAGAGCAGAAACTAGCAAAGAATATTTAGAAATGGTTTAAGGGGGGTAGAAGAAAACCTCCATTTGAATATAGTCACAGAAACTGCAAAGATGTTGGAAGTTTGTGGAGCAGTAGGGTGATTTTCATATGAGATTTTTCATGGTCAAGTAGTTTTGGAAAATAGTGCATGGCATAATTGCCCTCCTTAAATATTCTCAGTACACTTCAGCTTTGGGAAGTCCATATTAATGAAACTAGTTTAACATAGCAATTCCAAATTTATTTGATCATAGGAATATCCCCCTACCCCATCTCCATGTAAGGTTTCTGAGGAACAGTGCTTTGGGGATGTTGGTCCATTTCATACAACAAAGTACCACAGACGATCTGGTTTTGTAAACACCAGGCATTATCATTTTCATTCTTCTCTTTATTCTTCACTGGACCTCACAATATTAGCTTGCCTTAGTTTCAAATCTGCTTAGTATACTAAAGTCAAGAAACTTGATAATATTTTCATAAAATTCTTCAACATTGATAAATAACATGAAAGTTCAACATTTTAGCAGACTTATTTTGATGTCTAGTGATTATGTGTGATGCCTTAGAATAAATAATGTCCAATGTGCAGCATCTATTATAAACAATTTTCCACAAGTATATGCTATATTATTATTGTTTTCTAAAAATAATTGAAAGATTCAGACTGATTATTGCACATTCCCAGATCCTTCCCTCCAAATACACATAATAATAAGTTTAAAATAATGTTTGTATAGTCCAGCCTATGTAGCTGAATGGATTAAGCATCCTCCTGTGGACTGAGACTTCCCAGTTTGATTCCAGGTCAGGGTATGTGCCCGGGTTTCGGGCATAATCCCCTGCAGGGAGTGTGCAGGAGGCAGCCAATCAATGTTTCTCTCTCACATCAATGTTTCTATCTCTCTCTCTCTAAAAATTCAATAAAAGCATATTATAAAAAAATGTTTGTATAGAACATATATGTATATTAATTAATATATAGTCATACGTATTCTAATTCATAGCCCTATTTGTTTACTCAGATACATTTAAGTACTTTAAAAGCCATTAGAATTATTAATGACTTCATATTTGCAGGAGCCAATATGTCACCTGCTCTCCTTACATCTCTTTAAAGTCAAGTCATTAGAGACTGAATGTCTCTGAGTCATCCTTTAATGGATTTTACTGTTTTATTTCTATTAGTCATCATCAGTGCAAGTAATTTTATATTTGAATTTCTAATAGTTATTTTTTAAAAATACTGTGTTGACAGTTTAGTTTATTGAATGACTTCTAAGATACTCAGTTGTGGAACAAAATGATCCTATCCTTTCAACAGGTCACTTTTATTGTGCTTTTTGGTTTGAGAATTGCCTTTGATTGAACATACCTGTATATACATCCCCTGCATATGTGGGATTCCTCCTTGTTGAAATACTAAGTTCCTAACTACCTAAAAATAATGTTCTCGTGTACAAATTAAGAAAGAGTCCAACATTTTCTTTTTTTTAGTACTTTAACATGACACCTCATAAACTCTGTAAAAGTTAGATGATGGTATTTGTGTCAAGTATTTATTTCAGAGACACTATTTTTCATTGTCTTTTTCTCTTTCTTTTTAAATTGTTCTTAATAACTAGTAAAAGATGAAATGTTGTGTTGGTAAATAAACACAACTAATCCAACTTTTCCTAAACTTATACAGAAGAGAAGAAAACTAAGACTAAGGAAAAGACGGAAGAAAAGACTAAAAAGGAACAGAAAGGTGGGAAACAGGAGAAAGTGAAGCAAACAGCTGCAAAAGTAAAAGAAGTACAGAAAACATCACCTAAACCCAAAGGAAAGGAGGAGAAAGAAACCACAACTGTGTCTAAACATGAACAGAAAGGTAAACATTGAGACGAGGCGGCTGGAGGTTCTAAGAGACTATTGGGCAAGAAGCAGATACAGTGAAATTAAATCTGAAAAAGATCGAGATCAGACATCAAATGGGAAAAAAAAAATAAAGACTTGTATAAGTAAATATACCTGAAAATAAATACAATAAATTGGTAATTAAAATTTATTTATAGAAATACTTATAGGTGTTCACATATGTAAAGATGCACTTTGAAGAATTTTGAAGAGGATTTGAATTAATATCTGAAGTTGTTTAAGGGTTGGTGATAAATATTGAATTCTCAAGATATAAGAGTTCTATTAAGATGTGGAACAAAAATTGTTTATGTTCTACTCTTTGGAAGAAAGCAGTCCATAAAAAGTAATTATTATTATAGAGTGTATTTAGGGGTGTATGTTCAGATATACAAAAAAACTATTCATACATTTCTCTTACCTCTGCAAGAGCACATAATTTAGAATATACATCAAATTATTAAATTCAGTTAATTTAATAGGCAAAAGGTTTAGGGAGAAGAACCCTCAAGTTTCTTTGACAGTTTCTGTAACTAATTGTATGACTTTAGAAAGCTCTATATCTGACATATTGTGCTGTCAAACTTACATCCTACTGATAGAAATAGAGCATTTAAATGGAGATAAAATATAAACCTGAAATTCTTTATGGGAAGGTGCTATGTAAACATAAAAAGGTGGAGTTTTAACAGGGCAGTTGAGGGTCTTATTACCTGAGGTTTCTGTTCCTTGTTGAATCTTCCCTTCCCTAAATCCATTCCTGGCTACAGCTGCTACACAATCTTGATAACTCCCCATACAGAATGTGGGATCTACTCTCGAGAGACTACTCCTACACAAGTGTCTTAGGGGTATTGCAAAATAACATTTTTCTTTACTCCCATAGTTTTGAATAATTTCATTTGAAGACTAAAATTAAGAAATGGTCTCTAGAATATTTTTATTAAAATATTTTACAACTTTCTTACTAAATAAGCTATTTGAATAGTGAAATTGAAAATAGCTTTTTCCTCATTATAAGGTGTAAGATATAAAATTTGCAATCTACACTTTTTTTAGATTCCACATAGAAGTGAAATATATGATATTTGTTTTTGCAATCCATTCTTGAATTTATTTTTGAATTATTTTCCCCTGAATTCATAAGCAATATTTGTAAACTTTGATTCATATTTTTAAAAATCTAAAAGCAAAATAACAAAGGGGAACAAAAGGTAAAAACTAAAAAAAATTTTTAGTTAGCTGCAGAATTTTTAATTTAGGTAATTTTCATTTATTTCAATGTAATTTTTAAAGATATGAGCGGAGTTCAAACTTTAAAGCCCTAAAACCCTTTTTTAATTTTAAAGATAATATATTTATTTTTAAATTAAAAATATTAATTATTGCCTTTCTTAAAACTATATATTATTTATGAAATAATTTGGGTAGAAAAAATACATAGCAAAGAAAAATATATTTTGAATAGATTATTTTACAGTAATAGTAAACAGGAAAATTAATCTTTTGACTCTCTCATATGTTAATGTACAATGATTATCAATACCCTAAAATACTTTGTATTTTAGATTCGCCTTTAAAAAATAAAATAATCACATGAAACCAGCTAAAACATACCAAGTATCTAGGTAGGAACTTAACTAGAAACATGAATATACTTTTTGATGTTCACTTTTAGCATATTTGGTTCATGGATGGGGCATATATTAGTGATGGAGACATATCACTAGAACATTTTCAAATAATATTTATTTATTTTCCTGGTCACATATATTGTATTTTATTTCTATCAGTAATAAGGATTATTAAAGATAACATTATATTACCATTTTCACTTTCAATCTACTGTTTTTCTTTTCACAAAGAGCTACTTATCTATTAAAAGGACATTCAAATTTTACTTAGTTAGAAATAAAACCACGAATGTGATTTTATCAGCTAAACAAATGCATTTGCTAAAGTAAAACTCCTTATTGAGAGCTATTACCATCAATTAAATAAATGTTTCATTAGATAAGTCAAAACTTTAATCTTTAATACCTGGTCAGAAACATAAATGTTTTTTTTTTTTTTAATTAAGCAAGAATTTAAGAGCATTTACTTATAAAAACTAATCACATTATGGTTTTAACTAAACATGATAAAGACAGTGTTTTTAAATAATCTATTTGTGAGATGGCTTTGAATTTGAGATTTGTACTGCTGATTTAGTAAAGTTACTGAGTTATTCTCTTTTGGACAAGAAAACATTTATTTCCTTAGTTTAAAATAGGCCTAATGAATTTGAGTTATTCTTTTCATATAGGCTTCTAAATAATTATTCTTGAATAAATAGGGCTCATAGTTCTCTTACTTATTGGAAAGAGATTTTTACATGGACCACACAAACTTATTGGCAATTATTTAATTATACAGTTGTGGGCAAAGTAGGTTTATAGTTGTAATACAAATAAATAATACAATAATTAATAAATAATAATACAAGAATAAACTGTTTTAAATACTTCCAACTCTAAACCTACCTTTTCCCACCCCTGTATAGTAAACATGCAAATATATTCATAAAAGGTTACTCTTAGTATTATTTATATGTCATATATGAATATATAAATAATACATTTCTACTTATAGTATCAGGAATAAGAGTCATATGTACATACCTACTATAAACGTATACACACAATTATACATCACATATTCTAGTTTTTATGGACCAATCTTAATCTGTTTAAAGTAGGGTAAGAAAGGTGACATGATTAGGCATTGCTCCCTGATTTTCTGATGGTCTGTGGCAGGGAAGGAAAGATCAAGCCTCCCCACTGTTATGCTCATCCTTTTCCTTCCTCCCTTCCTTCCTCCCTTTCTCCCTTCCTCCCTTTCTTCCTTCTTTTCTTTTTTAACAACTATTTGAATATTTGTGGCAGAAAGACAAAGTATAGCTAACATGAATCTGTTGTAGAGTATGGACCACATGTGCTTATCCTTATTAGACTTTTAAAAAATTTTCCTTTCTGATGACATTCTGCACCCAGAATGCATTTTCTCCCAGCTGCCACTCCACAGGGAACACCCACAAGGCAGCAGCTGGATGACATCCATCATTGTTCCCTGAGAATTAAGAAGGAGATAAATGGACAGTGTGTGTTATTCCCTAGAAGAATATTCATTTGAGAAAAAATAAATAAATAAAGTAGTGACCAAATATAAAATTACCATATATGAATTATTATTGACTACCTTTGAAGTTAGAATGATAGACAGTTTAGATTTTTCTCTAGGAAAAAAATTATATTTCAATATTTGAGTTATGTTTAAAAACATTTCTGTAAAAGAAATCTTTCGAAGTTGGAAGAGTTTTGTTTTGCTCTATCCTGAGACAGGTGAAACAGATACACTGGGGACTGTCCAAAATATAATTGCCTAGAATTCTTATATATTGTTAAGTTCAATACTGAGGACAGGTGGAAATAAGCATCCTAATATAAAATATTGAAAATTTCTTATTTAAAATATTTGAAAAATATTTTTCTCATATTCCTATTAATATGTTGGTGCCATTAGAATGCAGGATCATAGCATCATTTAAATATGACAGAAACCCCCTAAGTATTGTAACTCAAATAGTTTTCTAAATTAAAAAATGAACAATCTTACAATTCATAAGTGATTTCCTTTTTCAGATTGGAAGCTCATAGGACTATTGGTGTATTAATTAAATGAATGACTTGGGTTCATATAATATTTGACATAATAAATATAAGCACTTTACTTTGGTAATTTTTAACATATAGGCTTTTTTCATTACACTGTCAACATTCAGCAAAAGGGGAAACTTTGAAACATGAAGATTGTAGCTACTTCAGTATATTATTCCGCATACCACCACAATTTGGAGTGGAGAACAATATTTCACTTATGACGGTTGTCCAAACCTTTCACATTCCAAGGAGTCCCTGCATTCTAAATTTCCAACACACACACATTTCCACTGCTGTTGTGAAGGTTATAGTGTCACTAGAATTCGTGAATAAAAAACAAAAACTGAAAGATTTTAGATCAGCAATTCTGGAAGTGTGGTCTAATTAAACTCTTCTGAGGAGTTTGTTAAAAACGTATATACCTGGGGTTCAAACCCATGGAAGTACAGTGTTTTGGGTGATGAGGCCAGCAAATCTGCACTTGAACAAATTCTCCATCTTTTTAATATTTATATTGCCCGTTGAGAACTACTTCTGAATGCGAGAAGGACAAGTCTAAAAAGAGTCCAGTCACTTAAGCTACTGAAACAAAGGGGGAAACGACCGTTTCAGGAATCCCACACTTGTCCAACCTCAGATTTATTATTCAAGGGAAATCATCTTTTTCTTTAGCTTTATGTTAGAGCCAAATTGCCCATTGTAGATTTTTGCTCAGGAAGAGTTATGCCTAGAAAAGAGAGATACTCTCTGCCTTCATCTTTCTTCCCTTCTGTCCCATAAGGTTTCCAGGTCCTGGGATCAGAAACCCCTGCTATTTCTCTCAGTAAGTCCATGAGCAAATAGATTCCTGGACTGACCTGACAATTGGCCTCCCTCCCACTCCACACCTCACCTGTGGAAAAATGTGCTCCAATACAACAGTCAAAATACATGCACATTTTGAAATCTAATGAGTTTTGGCCTATTCATATTTAGGTAGTAACAAAAAGAATTATATTTTTACACTTACTACAATACTACATTTATTTTTTCAAAGATTTGACATAGTTTCATAATAAAATGAAATACTCAAAAATACTGTTAATACTCTAAAAAGAGTGAGGTTTACAAAAATCCTTGTATGTGTATTTGTATAGTAAAAAGTTTTATTATTTTATGTTTGCTATACATAATTTAGAGCACTTAAGGGGGATCATGTTGTATATATTCAATAAACTCTCTTTGTCCTAAAGCTTTAGATTTGTTGGATAATAAAATGCCAATTTAGAAACATTAAATGTAAATATTCTTAAGCAAGATTCATTTTATAACATGCAAACTTTAAAGAAGATAAAATGAATA